CGAGGGGGGGGATTCTTTGTTGGGGGGGGGTTCAACCTTGGCGATTTTGGCCTCGTCCTTTTTCTTGGCGCTCTGCAGAGCTTCCAGGTGATGCCGGGCGCTGTCGTAGTCCACCAGCTTACGGCCCCGCTTGGCGATGCGCTCCTGGGGATGGGGGGGACACACGACATGATGAACCAGGATCGGACCCCCCCATCCCTGTCCCCAATCCTCTGGGTGTGGGGGGGTTACCTTAAAGTCCCCAAATTGAGCCAGATAGTTCTCCATCAGCCGCATGGCTTGGTCGGCCAGTTTGGCCTCGTAGTCGTCCCACAGCAGGTCATTACTCTGGGGAGGGGGGTGGAAAAAGGTTTTTTTGGGGGGGGACAGGAGTATGGCTGGGAGCCTCCCCTCCAGCCGTACGTGCTGGGCTGCATCCCCAGGGATTTTCCCCCCCTGCCGTGGAAGGCGACCCTTGGGGACAGCGGGGACACATCCAGGGGCTCACATCTGCGATGGCTTTCAGCTCCTCATGACCTTCCCAGTCGCTGCTGTAAATCTCCTGCAGCGTCTCGGCCACTTTCCGGGAGCTCTCGTGCATCACTGCAGCCCAGAAAAAACAGCATTTATTACTAATTATGATCTAGTATTAATTATTATTATCTATTATTCATTATTGTATATTTATATTTATTATCCTGGGTGAGAAAACACCGCGAGGCTCAATCCCTTCCCAGCTCCTCCCTGGTTCCCATGGGGTTTTCTCGGCGTATTTCCAAGACTGGGAAGAGGGGGGAGCGGGGAGAGGGGGGAGAGAGAGGACAGAGGGCCCCCCCCCCTTACCTTTCACCGCCCCCAGGAAAGCCTTGAGGTCTTTGTAGAGTTTATTGCCTTCGTTCTGCAAAGCAAAGCGGGGAGGGGACGGGTCAGGGGTGGCCCTGGGGGCTCAAGGTGGGTCCCACCAGCCCCGTGGGGATGGAGGGACCCTCCGGGAGGCAGCAGGGGCTGGTATAGGGGTGTCCCCATCCTCCCCCCCCCCAACTTTCCCCTCTCCCTGGAGCGACCTGTTGCAGCTGGAAGTTGTAGGCGCTTTGCTCGAACTGCTCATCTTTGGTTTCCACCGTTTTGCCCAATTTTTGCAAGACCTGGGATGGAGGGAGATGGAGCCGTGGGAGAAGCCAACACCATGGGACCAGCCCCCCCAAGAAAACCCCTCTTGGGGTGCAATGCCGAAGGGGGATTTGGGTGGGGGCTGCAAAATTTCAGCATTTTCCTTGGCACTTTTATTTTTGAGGGGAAAAGGGTGATTTTTTGGGGGGGCTGACTCATCACCCCAACCCGTCACACCCTGTAGGGCTGTGCTGCCCCACAGCGAGACCTGGCCAGGCTGGAGAGCTGGGCAGAGAGGAACCTGATGAACTTCAATGAAGCGTTGGATGCTGCACCTGGGGAGGGATAACCCCCCCCAAACCAGCACGGGTTGGGGGTGACCTGCTGGAAACCAGCTCTGAGGAGAAAGACCTGGGAGTCCTGGGGGACACCAGGAATGTGGTGGCCAAGAAGGTCAATGGCATCCTGGGGGGCATCAGGAAGAGTGTGGAGAACCTCAAGGGAGGTCATCCTGCCCCTCTGCTCTGCCCTGGGGAGGCCCCAGGGACCAGTTCTGGGCTCCCCAGTTCCAGAAGGACAGGGAACTGCTGGAGAGGGGACAGCAGAGGCTACAAAGATGCTGAGGGGCCTGGAGCATCTCCCTGATGAGGAAAGGCTGAGGGACTTGGGGCTTTTTGGTCTGGAGAAGAGAAGGCTGAGGGGGGATCTCATCAAGGGTGGTGTCAGGAGGATGGGGCCAGGCTTTTTCCAGTGGTGCCCAGCGACAGGACAAGAGGAAACGGGCACAAACTGGGATATAAGAAGTTCCATCCCAACACGAAGAGGATCTTTTTGAGTTTGAGGGTGGCACAGCCCTGGAAGAGGCTGCCCAGAGAGGTGGTGGGGTCTCCTTCTCTGGAGACACTGAAACCCCCCCCTGGATGAATCCAACCTGCTCTGGGTGGGACCTGCTCTGGCCAGGGGGGTTGGAGGAGATGATCTCCAGAGGTCCCTTCCCACCCCATGTGATTTTGGGATTCTATGATTGCAGCCCTAGAGACCCCAAAGCACCCATGGGTGTGAGTGGGGGGGCAGGTTAGACCCTGGGTGCTGCCCCACTGGGCTCCGGTGACACCGCTCCGAGGATGAGGATGAGGTCCAGAATGGCCATGGGAGGAGCGGGAGGGAGGTTTGGGGTGTCTGGGAAGAGGTTGACACCCCCCCGGGAAGCAGCCGGAGCCTGGTTGGGGCTGATACAGCCCCGGGGGAGCTGAATTTAGCACTGAGCCCCAGCCAGGAAACCCCACAGCGTGTGGGTCTGGGGAGGGGGGTGGTGGTTGGGGGGTGGTTGGAAATTCACATCCCCCCAAAATAGGAGTCGCCGCCTGCTTTTTTTGGGGTGAGAAAAAAGGGAAAGAGAGACACCTTTGAACCACCCCAAAACAGCCTAAAATTGCCCCTTTTCTGCCCGCTTCCGGAGCCCTTCCCCCTCACTTCCTGTGTGGCCAGTGTAGGCTCCACTGGGGCTCCTGGCCCTGTCCTCACGGTGGGTCCCACGGGGGGACTGTCACCTCCCTCCATCCCGAGGGACCCCCTGCCAGCAGCGCAGGGTCCCCCCGGAACCTCCGGAAGGTGCTTTGGGTGGAAAAAAAACCCCAAAAAATCCCACTTTGGGAGAAGCCACCATCTTCCCAAGCAGCTTGGGGAATCTTGGGGAGATGCCACCAAGCTCCAAGCCTTGGAGCAACCATGACATCGACCCGGTAGCGCCCAAACCAACACCCACGGGGCCCGTTGCGCCACCCCCTTGGCATGGGGGTGGGAAAAAAATAAATAAAAAAAATAAAATTAAGGGATTTTTTT